TTATAAGTAATTAATAGTATTACTTATAACATTTAGACTTAAATAGAATAGAAAATAATAAGACTAAAAACTAATTAAAAGACTAAGAACCTTAAGTAAAACAAACACTAATATTTAAAGATATATAAAATTATTTTAGTTTAAAAAATAAACAAGTAGTTAATATCAAAATATGTAAATGTATGTAAATTAGGCATATTATATAAACAACATACAATAGTTATATTATATCAGTTGATTAATTGAGACAACTGAGGATGTATAAAATGCTCACGTTCAAGTAGGTTGTTAGTTAAACCTGCACACTTTGTCTGTCCCCCTCCCCTCTCTCTCCTTGTATATATATATGTATAAATGTGTTTTGGATAAAACATTGAATCACCCAAATTATCCATTACTGTAAGACCGAATACTTCTGAAATGCAGAGTTTCAATCAATGTCGATATCAATAACTAGAATTAACTATAATTAATGAACATTCAGTTTTGTAACATCTGTAAATGAAAGGATTTTTGCTTGTTTTTGAAGAGGACAAATGTGTCACAAGTTGAAATATTTGTCAAAGTTTCTTTCATTTATCATTATTAATATTATATTATAGGTAATATGATTGTTTAAAGGAAATTTTTAAATACAGAATGTTAATCGCACTTTATAAGAAATATATGCATGTGCTAATAGAGTGGCGTGTTCTGAGGAGATGTTAAAAAGCATACCAGAAGAAAATGTCGGATCTAATAGCCAAACAAATTTCGGTGATCGGTAATTTTAAGCTACAATTAATTATATTACATTCGCAACCTTAGAATCTTGAAACTTCCGTAGTGCAGTTGGATTAACTATAATAGTGATATCTCACTAAGAGAATCATACCCTGAAGAAAGTGATACGATCTGTAACATCCTGATTAATTTGGTTCAATTAAAAATAACATAATGAGAGACCCATGATTCTCTTCTGTTGGAAACTCGAGTGAACAATGAAAAATATTGTTCATATATACATACATATATACATATGTGTGTGTGTGTGTGTTACACACTTATTTTCTTTCTCTCCAAAGGCAAATATTGAAAATAGGATGCGTGAGAGGCCTAATGCTTTTTTTGATTGACTGTACCCTATGTTGTGGAAAACATTTCCGCCTATTGAAGATTCATCAGCACAGCTTGTGTCAACAAACGAAATAAATACAGTTAGGCCTCTTATAAATGTGATGTGTATATAATGTCTATGGGGTTTTAAGTCCTTTGGAATCACCAGTAGTTGGTCCGATATATAATACTAGTGTAAAAGCCGTCAAAAATGACGGGAAACCACTGGAAACCAAAATTATTCCGCGTAAAATTGGCAATACACAAAAGAAATATAAAATTTCTTTTCCCAGGAACATGCTACATACTGCTCCTGAATCCACTAAATATAACTGAACAAACATACTACTTATTGGTGCCTTTGGATAAAATATTAAAACATACGATGACCATGTGATTGCATACACATCTGTTTTTCTTCTGAGAAAAGTCGTCCTTTTTCCAACAGATAATTGGTACTTTGGGATTAAAGATTAAACATACGATGACCATGTGATTGCATACAGAACTATTCTTCTTCTAGGGAAAATTCGTCGTCTTCCCTACAGATAATTAGTATCTTCAGTCTATTTTAACAAAGGCTTTTCGTAATAATTCCTAAGCATAGATTTGTGCTAATTTTTGACGCATTTTTTACAGGAGTTTTCCAGGCTTTCCTATTCGGATCCTATCCAACTTGACGTCATAATGATGTGGATGATGTGGTGTCACATACATAACGCCATGCCTGATCTAGTTCTGGAAACTCCCTCCTTGACAGGCTTTTTTTTTAACAGAAAAAGTGCCGAAATTTAGGAGCTATTTACACCTATTTTAGCAATTAAATTCAACTAGAATGGGAACAGGCAACCAAAAGAGGAAGTATTATAGAAGAAAAGTGCAATTGAACACATATAACTCACGAAATTCGGAGAAGTAGAGCGTGACCGATTAACTGCTCGACCGACACTTGGCTTTTATATATTGATGGAATAATGAGTTAGGCGCAAGCCATATTGTTCATACACCTAATTTATTTTTAGTAACTTTTTTGGTGATTTAAAATGACTTAAAACCCCATAAATATAAAAAAATCGTTTATTTTTTTAGTTCTTAGGCAGCAATAATGGGAAATCCATAAAACGATGATTAGTGTTTAATTAAGCTAATATACTACACTAAAAACTAAAATGGCTATTCTATGTACGTTTCGCGTGTCGTTTTAATATATATAAGATAACACGGTTATTTTAGCATAATTTGTAGGCGCAACCCTCCCTGAAAGTATAGTACTCTCTTTCAATTATTGTTTCTATGTAATTGTGATGTATTCTGACTCTACTATTATTTAGTAAATAAGTATCGCTCCTAAAATATATGCCACTTTCAGTTCCGCTGTTTATTTGTTTTAATGAAATGAAGAACAACTTTTCACTATAATCTCGCCCTTATATTTTTATTGGACTATAGGAAAAATAATCTAAAAGTAGATTTATCATGAAGTTGTAGTGTTGTTGTTGTTTTACCAACCTAAGCATATATAGGATATCGCCATTAGGACTAACTCTCAGTAATACATTGGGTACTGTTACATATTGGAATTCTCCGTGTTTAGCATTTGGAAAATAAACATCCGGTCTCCACAACCTTTTCACAAAGATCGGGTCGTTCAGATCTAAGTGGCGGGTCAAGTTGTTACTGCGCAGGCGATCATCATGCCAAGTCTGACGAAGATACAGGTCTACCTCGTAATCCTGGTACAAAAAAATGCATTAAGAAGCTTCTAAGTAACCTACATGTATATATTTAATATATTTATACATACACTTCATAAATAATCAATACGTACTTATACGTTTACTGAATATAATTTCTAATGTCACACATAGTCTCAAAACATTTTGCAAAATTCAAGCCATTTAACTTTTCAATAGAAGTATGTTTTCTGTGTTTGTTTTCTGTAAACGTAAGAGATGTTTTGAAGCTTATTCCTCAGTTCTGTTAAAGTGCTGTGGTGAATGGGATATTTTAACTTTTACTGCAATTAAGCAAAATATCAACTTTGTGTACTTCAAAGCGATCAAGAATCACTCTTATTAGCTTTTTGTTTGTACACTGAACAAATATTGCTGTTCGAATTGTAATGGCTGAGTTATAATGTGAATAAATGCCGTAAAATAATGTGATTGTTTTTAATATTACTGCTTTTGCAATTAAGTTCAGTGCTTGTATGTTTGCAACATTAAGTAAATACAGTAGAAGCAACAAGTTTATTTATGATGTTTTTAGTGCCTGAAATTATTATTAACTTTATCCCAGTACCTTTATATGCAAGATAGTATAGTTAATAAAAATAATGGTGCAAACGTACTTATTGTGTAATTACGTTGCACACTATGCATTTGTAAGTAAGATAAAATTTAGTGAAACATACTTGTAGAAACTGTCAAGAGCAACTGAGTAAATCCAGTTAATAAGAACATAGTAAAGTGACAGTTGCGCTATAGCCGAAATGTAAATAAAAACTGCATTACTTTCATCTAAATGAAACTACATTGTTTATACTCATAATTTTTATTTCAACTAGTTTGATGTCACACATTTTAATGATATGACTATAAGGGTTTACTCTGCTGTACCCCCACTGTAGCTTATCTGTAAGCTTTGGGATGCTAAACGATATAATTTGGGTTTCGACCCCTGCTGTAGGTACAGCGCAGACGGCCCATTGTGCAACTTTGCATTAAAAATAATATTGTTTTCCATAGCTTCACATAGCTAGCACATATTCATAACAAAAGCCATTTACTTTGTTTTGGAAGAAGTAGAAAAAACAATGCTTATACCTAATGGATGTAGTAATCATTTCGTCCATTCAACACAATCAATTTTACACTGAGCACAGCAGTTGAGAAAAGTTGTCTCTGGGTGTACAAAGTTGAGTACGTTATGTTAAAACGATTTTGGAGCCTCATCGCGTCGTTACAGTCTATGTTGCCCTCCACGCCCAGTGATGGTTTTTCTATGTTTCCCCTGCATGGCCAGGTGGTTAGGGTGCTCGACTCGCAATATGAGAGTCGCAGGTTTGAATCCCCGTCCCACAAATATGCTTGTCCTATCAGCCGTTGGGGCGTTATAATGTTACGGTCAATCCCACTATTTGTCGGTAAAAGAGTAGCCCAAGAGTTGGCGGTGGGTGATGATGTCTAGCTGTCTTCCCTCTAGTCTTTCACTGCTAAATTAGGAACGGGTAGCGCAAATAGCACTCGTGTAGCTCTGCGCGAAATTAAAAAAAAACCAAACCAAACTTTCTATGTTTTATATTGAAAATGTTCCCGTCATAAGGATTTCACTTGTAAAGCACATAACACCCCCCTTCTGCTTTTCATAATACATCTAGGAGGACAATGGCTTCTCATCGTCCATTTCAATAGTCCGATTACATAGAAATCCATAGTCGCTGCATCAGGCGACTTCACCTGTATGCTATCGTATGAATGAGCATGGATGTTTGTTTCCTTATCCAGCTGCTTTGAGGTATGCGATGGTTGAACTAATATGTCGAGGAAGCAACTTCTGTACACATGATTTGTGTTACTCTTCAAGACAGAGATCCTTGTTGATTACGTTCCGTGTTGTTGCTTGGGTCACGTAGAGGGCTCTTGACACTGACCCTTGTGATCCTAGATTTTCACATATCACAATAACCGCATCTTGCTTACCACGGTTGGAGTTCGACATGTTACAGATCTCTTTCTGGTGATCCAAGTTCATCCATGTAGTTCTTTGTTTTCCAACGCCATTAATTACAGAGATATCAACGTCTTGGAACCTCTAAATCGCAATGTAGACAAATCTTCGTGATTTGAGTATATGAATATTTTGCATCGGGAAGGTTTGTTACATGCCCTTCCCAAACAATGTCAAACATAGTTCTGATACATTGGTTTCACCGTGACTATATATCGGCTATGGTTACCATGTGACTTGAGGATTTGCATATTCAAAATTATTTTAATATGATGTATTAAACCCTATACATCCTTGGGTTATATTTGGTCTTGATGATTATTTATGAAATTTTCAATTAAATCAAACCCGTTGCGGGAACGGGTTTTATTAAAGATAACCAGTCTGATATACAGTTAACAAGCTATTTATTGTGATTTGGTATTTAATACTTTCACTGTCACGTTTATGGGTTATTTATTCTTTTAGTGCCAGATTTACTTTTAGATACAAAATGTAAAAAAATAAGACACTGGTTTTAATATTTCATTATTTATCTGAAACTTGAAAGTTGTCAACCTTATTCTTGGTAGCACAAAAATTTTAAACTAACTTGGCACTGATATATGATATATGTTCTCCCACAGCAGTGAAAGAACTAATTTTCTTACAAAATCCTCTTTTACAAATACTTTTCAGTTACTCGTTTACAAGTGTTGATTTCAATGTAAGTGTCAAGTCTTATTTTAAAAAAATGGTTTTAATTACTTTTTATATCATATATAGTTAAAAAAGAAATAAATAAATTGTTCGAAATTGGTGTGTATCATTTGTTATTATAACTTGAGTATGTGTAATAGATTTTATTAACCAAAATACACGAACTGCAACCAAGATATACTTTAAAATTTTCTTGGTGCAAGTTATAATAGAGAACGTAATACAGCGTGAATGACATGAAGATGAGAGAGAGTGCTTTCTTTCTTTATTAGATGTTTGTTATGGATTTCACGCAAAGCTACACGAGTGCTATCTGCGCCAGCCGTCCCTGATTTAGCAGTGTAAGACTAGAGGGAAGACAGCTGGTCATCACCACCCACCGCCAACTCTTGGGCTACTCTTTTACCAACGCCCCAACGGCTGAAAGGGCAAGCATGTTTGGTGTGACGGGGATTCGAACCCACGATCTTTAGATTTCGAGTCGAGCGCCCTAACCACCTGGCCATGCCGGGCCCTCTTTATTAGATATAGAATGGATTATTATAAACATTGTTGTTTCATCAAAAAATATGTAAGCAATTCAATTTTAAATATTAGTAATAAATACTTGTATTGAACCATTTTTATTCGAGTTACGGTAAAGTTTTTCAGAACATTTTAACTTACCATAGTGGCAGGATTAATAGCTCCTATACTTCTTAAGTAGAGCTCACATTTAACAGTAGTGGGTAAATCTAGGGGTGTCAACAAAATAAAGTATTTTATACTTAGTAATTAATAAAAATACACTATCCAAAAATACTAAATCAAACAAGCGTACAATAAATATCCAGTCAAGTTACCGCTTGATTAATGCGTCGACCATATGTTTTTAAAAGCCTAATAACATTTTTAGATAATAGTATTATAGCCTAATAACATTTTTAGATAATAGTATTATAGCCTAATAATATTTTTAGATAATCGTATTAGAGCCTAACAATATTTTTAGATAATAGTATTAGAGCCTAACAATATTTTTAGATAATAGTATTAGAGCCTAACAATATTTTTAGATAATAGTATTAGAGCCTAAAAATATTTTAGATAATAGTATTAGAGCCTAATAATACTTTTAGATAATATTATTAGAGCCCAACAAAATTTTTAGATAATAGTATTAGAGACTAAAAATACTTTAGATAATAGTATTAGAGCCTAATAATATTTTTAGATAATAATAATAGTATTAGAGCCTAAAAAAAAATTAGATAATAGTGTTAGAGCCTAACAAAATTTTCTAATACTTACTTCACCCTATTACCAAAACGTAACAAACCACAGTTAACTGTCATGGTAGTAGTCCTTCTTTTAGAACTTCTTAAATTTTGAATAAATATTATTTTTTATGTTAGCTCTACAAGAGTTTAGCTCAACTCTCTGTATATGCTTGTCTGTGTCTGTCAAAAAAGTAACTACGGTATCTTCTTAATATGTAATTCTGTACGTAAGCATAGAATCTTCAATTTTATGATAAAATATATTTGTTTACTTATATAGCTCACTTCTCGGTTGTAATGTTACAGTGAAGTATATATATATATATGTGTGTGTGTGTGTGTCTTATTTGTCGTTTGTGACTTATGTAAAAAATTGGCCAAACTTGTGGTACCAATAAGTTATCTCCCTCACGATATTGCACATCTCTTAAATATCAGCCTGGTACAGATGAAAATTTAAAAAATAACCAAATTAATTAACGAAAGCAGAAACATAAAGTAAGTTTTGCTGGTATAATAGAGCATAAATGCCGTTTTTCTTATGAATACAGTAACTTTACTACAGGTAGACGAGATGAAAGGCAAATCAAAATAATCAAAACTAATTTTCCTTTATAAGGAAGCGCTTTAGAGTCATATACCTTTTTCTTATCACTATCTCTTCGTGGGTTGTTCATAAATACACTTGTTTTATATGTAAATCTATGTTAACAAAACAATACGCCAGTTGCATATAGAGCCTGTGATCACGTGGAGCTCATCCAGCAGAAATGGTCAAAACTCCTGAACCCTCCATACTCCCCATTGTTTATGCACAGCGAAAACAATAACTACACTATCTATGTACAAATTTTCATAATCTTTATCTCATGTTGGTTTAAAATGAACTTTAATGAAAACAATTTATCAGTTACAAGTTAACTCCCATTCCCAAATATTAATCTAAGTTCCTTTACAATATCTTTATTTTGATTAATTTTTTCGAACCAAGTTGTAAATGAAATTGCCCTAAGTTACATATCTTAACAAATATTTACTTTATGTAAATTTCTATTTCTCTGCCCCTAGTGGTTCAGCGGTAAGTTTGAGGGTTCAAACTGCTAAAAACCGCTTTCGATACTCGTGGTGGACAAAGTAAAGATATCCCCTTGTGTACCTTTGTGTTTAACAACAAACAAAAACTATTTATCGGTTTTATTACAAAGAAACACATAACAAGATCATGGCCACTAATTCACATTCTCATGAATAACAACTCTTGTAAACTGTTACTTGCCCATTGCAAAATAATATTTTAATTGAATTGAACTGTACCTTACTGTATTTCAAACTTTGTGTAACAATTTGTTTTATTCGGCTGGGAACTTCGTTAGTGATTCTGTCCAAGTTTCTTAATTTGAATAAAAGTAATTTAATTATAGTTAAACATCAATCAAGTTTAAATATTTATATGACAATTGTCTAAACCTTTTGTCCATATTTGTTCTCCTTTTCAATATGTCATGCTATGATTTTTTCATCTGATTACCTCCACATTGACTCTTGCCAACTATGAAACAGACTTCGTGCCTACAATTAGTCAAATAAGGTATCCAAACGAGCAGATCTATGTTTCATGACATAGACTGCAGAGCAGAGAACAACCTTGATATAATGATCACATTTCAAATTAGGTGTATTGCCTCCACCATATTCCCGTGCACTTGTTAAATACTCATTAAAATGTGAAAGGAAAATTACGTCATTGCTTGACAAGTTTCCTTAGCATTTCATCTCTGACTTCTCCAATTCATATATACCGAAGTCCCAGTACAGGTAAGCTTATGTATATCCTGAACCTTAGCTTATTGTTTATATGGAATCTTGGAACATCACAATACCTTCAGTTATCTGTTGAATTTTTATGGGGTTATTTCAAGAATAGTTAAATAATCATGTGAAAAACTTTTAGTGTTCGACGTAACTTCTACCCCCAGTGGCGCAGTGGTAAGTCTGCGGACTTATAACACAAGAAACCGTGTTTTGATATCCGCGTTGTGCACAGCACAGATAATCCATTTTGTAGCTTTGTGCTTAACTATAAACAAACAAATCGACATAACTTACAGTTTAACATTCGAAATTTATGTTAGAATGTAAACTACTTCTCCTTAATAGACACTTATATGTTATGCATATTGACACAACCAATCAAGGACCAAAGATCGAAGTTCAAAAGCTAAAAAATAAAAATTACCTTTTACCTCTTTCTCACGTGTTCTTACCATGATCATCACGTAAAAGTAACGTCTATAATTGACTGAAATATCATTACCATAAGATTGATAAACCTCTGAGAAAATTTCAAGATACAGTAAACATTATATGTGTGCCTTCATTCAACATTTAATTGCAGTTTGAATGAATGTTTTATTACTGAACTGCTGTTTATGAAGAAAGCGGAACTTACTTATATGGTGGGTAGGTGTTACTCTTCTGTCGTAAACTTGTAAAAGTTCATCAAGAACCATCAGATCTCTGTCTTCGTACATCAAGTAGGCAGACCTGAGTAAAAAATATATTTTCTTTAACTACCGCAGATAAACATTTAAGAAAAAATCTTCTCTAGTTTAACCTATCTTCTAAATAACGCGCTGAGATAATTTTACATAGTCGAGTAAACATTAACATAAATGATTCGTTACTATTCACTGCTGTAATATGACGAACGTCACTGTTTAACAGTTGAAACATTATGTACACCCTGATGTTAATGTATAAGAACAGTGAGTTCTTATACCAAGAAAATGGTTATATCAAGACGTACTTGCTCTTATTGGACTTTTATAAATATATATGCAGTCGAGGACTCAACTTTGTTGGTTTATATTCTCAGCTTTTAAAGTGAACCGCTGTTGTTTTATCTGTTTAATTATTTATGTGAGTTTAGTAAAACTAAAATAAATGTAACTTTTACATCAATACAAATGAGTGTTAGAAACTAACTTTACATCATTACAAATGAAAGTGTTAAAAACTAGCTTTACATCATTACAAATGAACGTGTTAGAAACAGTATTTTAAAGCCCATGGCGAATAAAAAGCTACACAACTAGTTCATGAACAAAAAACTGCACCAGGAGGAAGAACAAATAACATCAAGTTAAAAGTACAAAGTGGGATATTATAAAATGTACCTTGTTTTAAAGGTACTTGTCGAAGTTAATTCCATATAGCAGTAGGGATACACCATTTATTAGAGTTAACCTATATTCGCTAGCCACAAAATTTGAATAAAAAGGGCAAGAAATTGTGCAAAAACATAAGTAAAGCAATTAATAACTATATGTTTATTTGTTTGAGCAAAATCTAACAAAAAAGATGAATAGAGAGAGTGTACCAGTCGAGTTCAGAATAAAGTATAATTTACATGACATATACCAAGATATAACTAAGACATGACACTAATATGTTGTTGATGTTTTTAAGAAAAGGTAAAGCTATCGACTTAAGAACTTGTCTAAAGCTCTGTCCAAGAAGAAATTAGAATTCTGCTCAATGGACTAAAAGAGAGATTGAAGGTTAAGAAGAACAAAACAGAGTTAACTTAAAACCTGTTCAATCAGAAGTTTTACTTCCAACACATGCAGGAATCCAAACACCAACTTTTGCTAGATCATTATAAACAATGAATGGTAATGAAGTAAACAATACTCCGATAGTAAGTCATGATGTGTGCCTTAACTATTGGAGCTGAAACTGAAAACAACTACTAAAAGAGTCAAATAAAGCAGTGATCCAGAAAAGGGTCATGCTTGTAATGCGACTACAAGAAGGTTAAAGTAGAGTGGGGGGCAAACTTTGCCATAAAACTACCAAATTTATTAGAGAAGGTTATAGATTTTAAGCAAATTAATGTTCATAAGCAGAACATGAAAAGCACAAGTAGTATAAATATCTAAAACTTCCTGGAACACCAAGATTACTGTCTTGCCATCAAGTAGAAACATCATCAGCAAGGATGTCATGAGACCATTCATCATTGTGTTAAAAGGAAGAGGAATCCTGAGGTTGGATCCTTGAAATACTCCATGAGTAAGAAACATTCTGAAAGATGCTTTATATTTGATCTGAGGAAGTGCGTTCATGTTTGTAGTTATGGATTCAGCACAAAAACTTATGCAGTAACAAAGAATATATTTCACATAAAGAGACAGACACAATATAACCAATTACATTTACTTCTGAAGACAGGTCCTCCTGTCAAAAGTGTTCGGATTTTACCAGGTTTCTTTTTATGTGAACAACATAACCACAGCGAAATAAAATTAAACTTCCAGATTCCTTACGATAAATTAGACAATCAATAGTATATATATATGTTCTAATAAGTTTAGCTTGATTACAAAATAATTAGTCGCAAGTTCAAGAAGCCAAGGTAGGTAAGAGTTAATTGTGAATTCCATAACTTGAGAAACACGAGAAGATAGGAAAATAAGATTTTAAGATAATAACTGAATGGCCAATTTTCTAGGTTTAAGAATAGAAATCATGTCAGTCAGCATGTTTTCTCTCAGGTAAATAAACACCAAATACTCAAATGTCATTTTATAAATTAAAGAAAAAGACTGTCAGAGCACTAAAATTTGTTAAAATAGAATAAATAACTCCATTAGGTCCAGAAAAAGCATCTAGTGAACAAAGAACATAAAGTTATCCTAATTCAGAAAGAAATTAATGAATGGGTTCCAAATAATTTTATAAATCTCAGTCATAGCTGACCAGGTGAAACAATGAAGCTAGCCAAAGCCTCGTGCTGATAAGCCATAGTGTGGAAAGGAAGATTTTCCTGGTTCCAGCTAATGTTATTAATTATAGCCTGAATATTGTGAAAGTCCTTAAACTTTTTTGAAAAAAGCGAGAAGGATAAATGTTTGGTTGAAGAAGAACAAAACTGCCTATGACAGAGTTTTTTAAGACCTCATATGTATCTTATGACCTGTGCCTTGATGGTACCATATACCTTCAAAGCAACCTTAGAAAAATACATACATAGAGTCTTATAGTTTAGGTCCACAAGACACTGATATTTTCCATTACACCAAGGAACATATTTTTGACAACCAACAGCATTAAGATGCTGAGGAGACAGGCAAGGACAACAGTTTCAGCAAGTATAGAACTAGCATTTCCAGCATTAGAAATAATAGGAAGAAAGCAAGGTAAGTGTGACAGATTGTATTGAGAAAAACATTCCATCTAATGTGATGACTTCTTGGAAAGTTGTTAGAGGAAAGAGAGGCACAAACACACACACACAATATTTCACGAGGAAAGTAACCATCCTAAAAGTGTAAGTTTGAACATAACAAGTACATTTTTGACAGTAAGACAAATGGACACAAAAAATTCCAATAGGCTAAACATTTATTTTGACAGTTCCAGTCAAGCCAGTGATGTTTTCATTTAGCAGAATAAGATATATTTATCCATAAACGACGAAATAGTTTAACCATTTTGATCCAGATGAGCAGTTCCCACAGAAAATGATGTGTATTAAAATCTCCACACAGGATCATACTGGTGGCATCGCCAACAAACTAGCACAAGTATTCATGAAATAAAAGTTGAATACGTTCATTAAAAAAAAGCAACTGAACATAATTAATAGCAAAATTTATATGTTAATCTTCTAAGGTATAACATCTTCAATGTCAACAGGATGTCTGATAAAAAAAATATCATGCCCAGCATCAGTAGAATAAAAATGACTGAACATCCAAGAAAAGAGTATTGTTTCTGAGGCTTTACCAATATTTCTCAAAAATAAGTTATGTAAGGAACTCCAGTGTCCATAAGAGGGCTGCTTTCTGTATGTTGCAATCTAAAATTCTGAGCATTCCACTGTAAAACGTTAGAGGTAAGCCACAAAAGCTAAAAGTTCTTGTTTGAAGTAATGAATACGTCTGCTGCATCAAAAGTTCATATTTAGGTAACACACTTTTTTGTCTCTAGCCTTTAAATGAACAGGGCACTAAGAAAAAGTACGAGAGCCACCTCTTCTGTAGTTGATATTCCTCGAAACTTCAAAAATACATTCATCGTGTTTATGGGAATTTTAATACATGAGACAAACACCTAATATGAGTTTGAAAGCATGCTAAAATATGACTACAATAATACTGTCATAGGGCTGAACAGAATTAATTAAATAAGGTCTAACAAGTGGGCATTCAAAATAATTACAATGTGGTTATGTAATTTCATCTTAACCCTACACTCCAAGAATTTATTGGTCCTTTTTTCATAACGTTAGTCAACAGCATTTATATTGAAGCCTAGGTTACTATATTCCTGCATAAGTCCACCATACTAATTTCTAGAAACACTCGTAAACTTCTCCACAATTTGTTCTTGTAGATCTCGGATATTGTACAGATACAGTCCATTCACCAAACTCGGTCAATTATACTAATAACTAGGCATTTTTAAGGAGCTAGCCTCTACTGCAATGCTTCTGTCACCAAGTTTTAAAAGTAGGAAATACCTGCTTTCAAATATGAACCCACAGTAATTGATGTTAGTGCAGCAGAACAACCAGTCAGAAGCAGGGTGTCAATTTCCTCAAGTGCAAAGAACGGGGTCATGAAATTCCTCTCTTATGGAATCCAGTAATTATTCCACTTTGACGAAGCCAAGATTCAACTAAAAAGATTCAGCATACAAGGAAGCGCAATTATTAAACTTCATTCCATTCACAATTTCTTCAAAACGAGCAGGCCATAGAGAAATATCACAGAACGTATGTTAAGCATAACCAGGCCAAAACCAAAAACTCTTAATCGACAAACAGCCTAGGGCTACTCAGGACCTAGGGAGAAGATATTGTGTCCAGCTATGGTTAGCTGAAATATTTAAAATAAACCTGCTCTTAACATAACTGGAGTTAATCAGTATGAAGTGATGAAGTGAACGTGAGCAAAATGACTTACGTACTGAAAGGATAAAATCTAGATAAAAAGGGAAACAAATACCTCCTTATATTAGACTAATTCCCACCTAAGCCGAAATGTTCCAATAAGTAAATTGATGAATATTCACACTGCCCCCTATAATTATCCAGATTTTCTGGAACACATTCTTATCCAAGGATAGGTGAAGTGAAGAACAAGTATCATTGGCCACTATTCAGTTCTTCACATTATATAACCATACAATAGCAGATATGATAAATAAACTTAGTATTCCAAACATTGTTTAATTTCGAAGTCTAAATTCAAGAAAGGTCTAGTTCAATCTACACTTTGATCAACATGTGTTATTGGGTTATACTAGTTTCGGAGAATTCCACTTCTCATCACTAACTCTGAACACACCAACATCAGCACGTTCACACCAACAGTATGTTTGATACTTTTCACTATGATATAGGTCCAGTTTATCACTCTTTGGTTAACTTGTGTTCAGGGTTACTGATGAGATGTGGCGTTCTCCGAAACCAGTACAACCCAATAACACACGTTGATGAAATTGTAGATTGAACTGGACCTCCCTTGAACTTTTTT